TTCTTCAATATTTATGGAAGATCTTTATACATGTTTAAAGAGAGCGAGAAATTGTGAGATTCGTGCTATGAAAAAAGAGCACGATAGATAGAAAAATGCCGACTAACGAAACAATTGCTCTCTGGGTCCAAGTTTTAGAATAAACCGAAACGAAAACAAAATTCCGGTCAATTAATCGAGCGTCCGTGAAATCGACCGGAACAGAGCCAAAGTCAGGCATTGTCGTGACTACGGACGATGAATAAAACAGTACGCGTGTGGGAAGTCGCAGTCTCTCTCGGACGAGCTTGTCGTACCATCTCGTTCTATTTCCCCTACTCTCGGCCACCGTTCCGGCTAATCATTGAAAATCCGGAAGAGCTTTGGTTTTCATGGACGAGACCGCGCTTATCATTTACGACGGCGAAATTCGCGGCTTAAGGGTGAGAACGGAAAATACATCGGGAATAAGAACACCACGTATATCGAAAGCGCCCGTGCCACCGCTGTCTCGAGAATGCGGTACGAGGAAAGCGGTCAGAGATGAGAGGTGAAGTAAAACAAAAGGGTAAACTAAATCCAGCAGGAGGCCGCTACGCGCGCGCACACTGAATTCGTGATCGAACCGGGTTTCCGGGAAAACGGGATTGCGCGCGCGTGTACCGGGACTGCAGGTTCGTTCTGACCCTCTCCTATACACTGCTCCATTTTTATTTTATGAATTATGCGAAAAATAATTTAGGTTAATCTTAAGATATCTTCGTATCGATTAAATGGCGTAATTTTTTGCTCTTTAATAATACACCGATTGTTCTAAAATCATAGATAAATACTAATTTTGGATCGACTTATCTTTAAAAAAAAAGTTTATGGAAAAATTATATCATTGTAATTTTCAAATATTCTGTATTTCTCAGTAATTACATTTCGGATTAAAACTCTAAAAATGTAATAAATATAGATAAAGGAAAAGATTTTATGACATTTGATTTTGCTTTTTAAAAGATCCTTGTTAATCCTCTAATAGACTTTTATTTTCAAGGATACAATTATTGGGCTAATCTTCTTTCAAAGATTATCTTAAAATTACTTTTGAGATTAATTAAAGTTTTAATATATAAGACGAAAAGAAATCTTTAAAAATGGTTAATTGAACTAATAATTAAGATGTGCTTCTGTGCAATTATGTCCTTTTATTCTTATTATAATAAAAAGAAATGAACTCCGACTTGTATGAACTCTATATTGGAACTTTATCTTACAATCTTCGAAATCCGCGTTGTGCACCGCGAAATATTTTCCCTCGATACCCTCCTAGCGCCTAATTCACTCGAGAAAATCAATGAATTTGCAGTTCCAAGCACGTTCGAGTTTGTTGGTCGAAACAAGTTATGCTGCCTGTGATACAGCGGAGGTAGAATCGCCGCTGATATCTTCCGAAGTATTTGCGGAGGGATTTTTGATTTCCGGCAAACGTCCGAAACGTGCTACGCGGCGCGATCAGATGAGAGCAGGAGCGTATTGCGGATAATAATGAGGTTGCTTCGAATATCAATCGCGAGAGCGCCTTGCCAATCATCCCAAATTGCTGCAGAAGAAATATTGCAGTAATCGAACCTAATTGATATCACGCGCGCGATTATGTATATAAAATGTATAAAACTAAATCTATAAATCTTAAATTGGCAGTATTCTCGAACAATAATCTTTCTTATTTCGTCGAAATGTAATTTTCATTCTCATTTTACCTTTATTTTTCATAGTTATGCAAAAATTATTTTTTTCATATATTTAATTAAATATTAAAACCAAATAATTGCTTTTTACTTTTTATTATATAGAACATTTTTAATTGTCATCTCTTTTTTCCTTTTGCTTTAGCTAATTAAATTTAATGATTTAGTAACTAATTATATCTCTTAGTTAATTTATTAAATAAACAAAATTGCAGCCGCGTTATTTGTGTAAAAATAATACCGACAGGTGAAGAATAATGTACGTATTAATATCAATCACTAATCATTTTTTAGTGAATATCTGAGTAAAATGATGAAGCTATTCGAGTTAAATGCAGCCACTCAAAAAAATGTCTTGCTGATATAGGTAGATTTCTAGGTGTCACAACAAAAATTTATCGCTATTTTTTGTATCTGTTAGAATATTGTCTGTTACATATAGAATTTATAGCAGCAACATTCTAATAATATCTTCTAGAAAATTTAGGTCCCATTGCCAAATGTTAATCACTGCATTGGATAAATATGAGTTTCGATACTACAGAACGATCTTTGTGAGAAATATAACTGCCAATTATAACTGCAGCATCGAAAAATTGAGAAAAATTGTTTAAAAGAGCTAGATAGATTGAGCGCGTTATACAAATATGTTAGACGTGAGGATTATATATTCATTTGTTTCTTGCCGCTAATTTTTTCTGTCTACCACAGCCAAACTTTATAACAAGTATGATTGGCCTTAACATGGATAGGCGCCACAGAAAAACATTCTTTCTAAATTTCACAAACAGTTCAGATATAAATTCTGTCTCTGTCACTTAGATTGATTAAATGCGAAACATATGCGATATCACAGTATTTGCTAATCATTTATGTACCTCAGTTAATTTTGCGCACCCAGAAAATTTTTGCTGTAGTTGCAAAACCACTTTTTTGAGTGGCACTGAAGTCATCTTATAGATACTGTATGCGAATTAAGTTCGGATTACAGGAACCAACAAAGCGCTTCTACAATCAAGATCGTAAAAGGCAATGATTGCCCGATATAGCGCGCGTTACCAGCATCTATATCTAACTGATCTACCATCTATAACCACAATAGTGAACAATATTAATTTAACATTGGCATCGTATATATTGGTAGTTGAATCAAATACTAAAATTGATAACAATATTAAATTTAAAAATGAAAGCAGAATAAATAATATTGTAATTACTAAATAATAATAATAGTTGAATTTAAAATATATATTTAAAGATTAAAAATATTTTTTATCTTGGTTTAATTACACAGAAGCATTCGCGCGTTGTGTAAAAAGTAACATTTTAAAATTGTTTACTTTATTGAGAATTAAAAATGTATTTTTAAAAGGTACCATGTTTTTTGTTTTGATTCATAGAAACAAAAACGAATTATTTTTTGTACGTTTGCGAACAAGCAGAACAGAAACTTCGTTTATATATTTTAAACAAATGTTACATATTTTTAATTTTTCGTAAGCCCACCAATGTGTCTGAAGATTTTAGTTGTATTTATTCGCAATTTTTGCTCTCAATAATAATTTCTATATCTTAGTCTCTCTTTTCTCTTTCTCTTTCTCTTCTAATATATTACGTTACAAAAACGTGGAGAAAGACAGAAAAAGGCGTATTTTTAGCGTTTCAATATATAATAAATAATATTTTATAATATATATTTTATTCTTTTTGTTATACATTTTATTATATATTTTTTATTTTATATTGAATTTCAAATAATTGCGGGGTAAATTATTGAATTTTATAGACTGTCGAAAGAGTAATTGCATACATGTATTTACGTGATATAACATGTTAAAACGTCACTTGCACATATGCAAATATCATACAAGCTAAAATAATCTTTGATACCCACAATACTAATTGAACTGCATGCAATTATTCGAAGAAAGAAACTTAAATAATTGTTCTAAAGATAGTAATTGATCCAATTTATCTTATATTATTAATTATATAATATCGTATATCCGAAAAATGTGACAGAGAAAGAGAGAGAGAGAGAGAGAGGAAGAAACATGTTTCAAGTAGACACGTTATGGTCTCTTTACACAGCCTCGCTATAACGCTGTTCTATCACTCTATCAAAGTTTCAGCTGGGCGCGCCTGTATGGCTCTTGTGCGATAAATTAAGAGGCGCTAATTACAGTTCATATATATAGATATGTCAGCCAGCTTATGCAGTTTCGCGCATATATTCTAGATCTATAACGAGATCTATATCGATACATCAACTCGAGAGAGAACCACGCAAACTCTCCAAATCTAGATTAGGAAAGTCCACGTCATTTCTAAAACGGCGAAGCATTCTTTACGGGCAGATTTTCAATAGAGAATCCAGACAACTTCCCAAAACTCATCATGGATCATGTTCGTCAGATATTCACGTCGTCTGTGAATATCGTGAGAGACAGTTTTACACGTGTTTCAAAATTACTTTACGATTATCCAATGCTATATATTTAGCATTTTTAATACGTCATAAATGCATTTGCCGAGAGGACCGATTCTTCATCCCTCTACTTGCAAACTCATTAGTTTACATAGAACATCGTACGCTCAACCAGACAAGGGGTCAGACAAGATCAATGAGTGGATCAAGTCTGGCATGTTGATCGAGCATCGCCGTTCCACGAATACGAGTATCTAAAAGCTTACACTGAGAGACGACACTGAAAAAGCGCCCGAAGGGACTAAGATTAAAGGGGCTCGAGTAAATAATGCAAAAAAAAAACCTCGACTCGTAAATACGCGCGCGAAGTAGGTAAAGAAGAGAGTCGGCAGTTTACTTTCGGCAGTTGCGAGAGAATACATATGGTTCTCCGAGTTTGGTTCGTATCGCGGTGCATTTTTTTCAAGTGAGATCAGGCGCACTAAACGCGCGCGAGAGTAAAGGGTAAACGACGATTCGGTTGTCGCGAGTTCGAACGTACGCTCGAGAAAGGTGACACCCTTGTCAGCGCTATTAACGCGTTAATTATGCAGGTACGAGTCGGAGATGGGCTAAAGCGACCCGGAGTATTCAACGAGGATAAAACTCGCGGTGTATAAGTGCGGAGAGTGATGAGGATGGACCCGCGCAAAGAGGGCCGCGCGACAGAGACGAGGCACGCCGAGGCCGCAAATTCGATCGCGCGTCGCGCACCACGCGAGATTAGGATGCAGTGATCGGGGGAGGGGAAGGTGGTGGTGCGGTGAGGTCAGGTGGCGAGAGGAGGAGGAGGAGGTCCGCGGGAGTGGACGACAACGATGCATCACACCGGCGGCGTCGGTGGCGGTGGCGGCGGCGGGGGTGGCGGCGCAGGGGGTGGCGGCGCCGGTTACGGCAGCGGACCGCAGGAGCGCGTGCACCAGGCTCCGCGACCGGTCCAGCCTGACAAGTGTCCCTACGAGACCTATCAGGCGCAAATCCCGGACTGCTGCGCGGCCGCGGTGGCGGCGCAGGACCCGTATCCACGGCCGCCCAGCGGCTACGACGGCAGGTGCTACGACGAATGCCATCGCAGGACGCCGTACCAGGAGGAATCCTATTCTCAGGTATGCACATGCTCTTGATACGATCCAGAAACATCTTTAATAAGAGTTAAGACACAGAGCTTTTTGCCATATACGGATAAATTAATGTCAACGACATTGAGACTTCGTAAAATTAATTAAGCGAGAGTTAAATTAATTAAAATCGTTATCAAGCGCGAGTTAAATTAATTAAAATCGTTATTAAGCATTAAAAAAGTTACGAGGAATAATTATTATTTCTCCTGGGATTTTTTTTGAGCCGTGTAATATTCAGTACCGTCCACTCATCGATTCGTTCTGTCATTTGCGCGAGCATAAGTTGAATCGATTAATTATACTTAAAAGAAAATAATATTTTTTAGATATTACAAGAAGTTCAATTGTTAACAATAAGTATAAACGCATTGGATATTATTAATATCAAAATTATTAACTAATTATATATGAGAATCGATACGTTCGTGTTCACAATTCACTATTTATAACACTGTTGCCAGCGTCAATATTTAAAGTATAAGCACTTCTATCAGTAATTTATATTGTATACTCACAACAGCGTTTGACTGTTAATGCTAAAGAAATGCTCTTATTAGTTAGCGCATTATTTTGTTATTCTGTAACTGTGCTGACAAAATGAGAGACCGCTGACATCGTAATCGCTGAATATGGTTGCGAATATTTGCATAAATCACTAACAGCTATTGTTAATTAAAAAATTAAAATTTTTTATAAAACTTATAAAAAAGTTCTGAATATCCAATCGCTAATGGCAAAGAGGCAATCTCAACAATGAGTTGCGTATTTCTTTAAAAATTTCAACAATATAGCTTTTTCATTTGACATTATGTTACAATTATAATACTACATTATTGTGCAGTGACATTAATCAAATTACATATGTGAAGTCTTATTGAAATAAATGAATAGCTGTGCAATTTGAAAACATTGTATTTATATAGCAAAAATGGAATATGTTCCATTTCTGCGTTTGTACGTTTATATATTTCGTACATATTTGTATATGTATACAATATATATGTAATGTAAATAAAATATATTTTATTTATGCATATATATGTATGGGGTAAGGATAAATTTCGTTAAAACTAAAATTTTCGATTTTATATTGATAGGTATGAAATTACCATTATACAATTCATCTCAAAGCGATTAATCGCAGTTTGCAGCGAAGTCTAATATTATATTTCGCCGTTACACTCGTCTCGATGTTGATTAAATTTAATATCGCGTCCAAGTGCAAATATTACGCGATAATTATCTAATAAAATTGAACGAGTTCGGCATTTTATAACGAACGCACTGCCGGAGCCTGGTATTTATGATTATCGGACGGCGAAAATTGAATTTGCCCATTCCAGGGAAATAGGAGCTTAGTTAGCGCGGAAAGAGAGCAGACTTTAAGATCACCGTGATTCAATGAGTTGAAACGGTCGCTATCGATAATATGAATCGCAAGTACTTTTCATGCACGAATATTCGCTGTTCTTTCAGATATTAAACGATAAAAACGAATAAGGAAAATTATTTCTCGAAATAAAAATATCGCACTGCATTATGCATGCGAGATATACACAAGGGATATTGTCATTACGATACAATCACAATATTTAAATTATAATAACACGTAGTCAAGTTACCGTGTAAAGATTGAATGTTACTCATGCAGGCAAAAATTCGCTATATTTTCGTCCAAATTAGTAACCAAAATAATAGGAGAATAATATCATGTGTAGAATAGCATCCAATCTAAAATATTACGTGCTGAATTCTAAATTGGTAACAGACGATACGCCTGTAATATTCCCACCAACAAAATTTTGGAGCACATAAATTATAACACTCTCAATTATAACGCAGCACAGAAAAGGCGAGTGATTACAATTAGAATTTTCCGAGCGGAACGTAAAGCGAAGAAAAAAAAAATACGCTCCCGAAATACCCTGGGAGTTTAATGCAGCATCGCCGCTAAAAGCGTCGCATTGCTATTCATGATTGGCTTATTTTTTCTGTCAATTCGACGCGCTTATGAATATGGTACACCTGTTTGCAAAAATGGAAATGAACTTCGTCCCTCATCTCTCGTCCACGAGATGGAGATCCGTAATAGCGGCCGCACGAGTCACGAGTTTCTCAGCTCGCACAAGCTCGGCGCGGGCCCCGCTTCAACTTGGCTGCAGGAATCTTTCGAGAGCCATTATAGGATTTTCGGTATCCGAAAATTGATTTGGCCCGGCGCCTCAGCTCTCCAAGTTACATCCGCAGACTATCGATTCAGTAGAGGCTGTTCTCGCCGAAAAGAGGGATCACGAAATCTCGCCAAATCACGCGAAAATGACGCCATTGAGGATAAATCGGTGTTAATCCCCGCGTTCATTATCAATTTTTGACCTGAATTGACATAAATGAGTAGTATTGGGATATCGATACTCTGTTCTTTCTAAATTGAACATTTTCATCATCACTTATTTATCTTTACGATCACAATTGAGAATAAAGAATAATATCAATGCATTCGAAACGCTTGAATAGAGATGTTAATCTGCATCGACTTATGAATTTAATTGCCGCGAAAAGTCTTTCCTCTTGTCTATCGCAAATAACATCGATATGAATATGCATGAAGGAAATATCGAGTACATAGAAAATGTCGATACTTGATATAAATGTCAGTATTTAATATAAAAAAAGTAAAAGTATATATATTGATATCCTATTAAATTTTAGCATTGCTAGCCGCCGGCTGCATCGCCTACGGATGCAATTTCGCGGATGCATAACGCATATACAAAGCGATCACGTGCAGATCATCCGTCTATTCCTCAATGTTTCCTTTCCGAGCGATATCATCGCAGATGGTTCCCTAAACGTGCATTTTCTCTGCTTAAGCTTCCTATGCCGCATTATACGCTTTCTTTTCTAGATAAAAAAATTTTATTACAGTAAAATTAGATAAATCTTCAAAATTTTACAAAATATAAAACGATTTTATTAAAAACACTAACTTTTTTCAATATAAAAGAGATATGGATTTTTGAGAATAATTTTATTGTAGCTATTTCATCTATCATAAGTAATAATATATGTTTTAGTTCATTTTTCTTAGTAAATTTTAGTAAGATATTGTGTGTATATAAGTGCGCAATAAAAAAATTAAGAGATAGAAAGAGAGAGATATTATTATATTGTTATATAAAATATATATATATATATAATCTCCCTCCCCGATATAATAAACCTTCCCGAGACTTGATAGAGTTTACAAAATTCACCGATTCGAAAGCAAATCTCCAGAAATCGGCAAACTGTCGATCGAAAGTGTCAGCCGAGGCATTTTTCTCCGCTCCGTGAAATCGCGGAGGAAGGTGCCAACTCTGCTTTTACAGTCTCTATCGTTTGGAATCGTGTGGCGATGACGGCGAAACGTTACCAGGCGAATTTCAGGATCCTGTACATGGCTTCAAAGGCCGTGCACATACGTTCCGCTTATTTTAGCGATATCGATACTTTACTGTTAGGGGTCCCCGTATCGAAGCGGAGTGTAAAGATAACGCGGCAATACAACACCAGCACGATCCACGATGACGATCGTCGCACTATTACGCATATCGAACGAGAATGCAGTGCATACTGTGAGGAATACGATGACTCGTAAGCCATGATGCATTGCGATCGCGGTAACCGCAAATGTACCAGAAGAATAAACAAGAGATAAACGCAGGGAATAAAATTCCCTTCTTTTTGTACGTTTTCGCGATACGTTTAATCTTTAACGGATATTTATTCAAAGAAAATTTAAAATAATAATATGTATTTGTAAAAAAAAAAAAACATATAACGATGCACACACACACACACAGACAAAGTTCAGATATTTTAATATTCTATAATTAAATTTATTTTAAAATAATTTACAAAAGTATTTAAATAGATTAATCGGCCGAATTGCTTTCGGCAGATATATTTGAAACGCAAAATATGTTTCAGTTAAAAATGATCTATTTTTTTACATACTTTTTTATTGCGTGTTAATCTTGGAAAAGAATTAATAATTATATACTAGTTTTTAATTTTTTATCGATCTTTATTTTATATTATATAATAGTATAGGTAAAAAGAATATAAATTAAAAAAATTGTTCTTTATTATGATTTAATTCCAGAGGACTTTATTCCCCGATAATATCTGCCAAAAACAATATTATTTCTAAATTATTTTCAATCAATATTTTTTGTATTTACAGCTAGTTAAAGTTTTTGTCGAATCTATAAAAAATACATATCACTCGTTTTAATCAATTCAATGAAACAATAACGCAGAACAACGTTGCAATCAAACGCGAATTCATGTTCGACTGACTTCTCATTTGTGTTGTTTGTTGTTTATTTTTATAACAAATCATATTTATATTGTTTTATACATGGCATAAAATAATAATTCTGCGGTTTATAAACAGCAAAAATTGTACGAGCAGGAAAATAAAATTCTTGCTATTTAAAAAAGATTCATTAAAAAAATTAAGATCCGGATTATAGACATATAAATATAAAACTAAATAAATAAGACTATATGTTTAAAGCACAACAAGATTATTTATGCTTTCGACAAAATTAGGCAAATTTGCGACTTATGTAAGTAAATCTCTAAAGCGTGCAAATGATTGATTGATTTATGCACGTACCTCTCTCAAAATACAATCACGAATGAAAAAAAAAATTTAATACGTTTTCAAAAAAGGGTTATCAAAAAAGAATCGCGAATGTATCCCGTATGTAATCGAGCCAAAGGCGTACAGTGATTTATATCTTCTTTTCCTTTCAGGATGTATCCTCGACATTCCATCGGCCCCAGTCTAGACTGGGCTACGACGAGCGTCCTCAGTCCCGGGTGGGATACGCCTCGGATTCCAGGTGCACCAGCGGACTCGGATACGACGACACCGGTGGGGGTTACCTGGATCAAAGTGACCCGAGGATGTATTGCACCGGTGGCTATTGCATGGGGGATACGATGATGGCGACGAGCAGAGGTGTGTGCGGCGAGGAGGTCGAGCTCGACATGCGGAGGCACATTCAGGCCTGCGCCTGCACATGCAACCACATGGGCTATGGGAATTACATGGACTATCAGGTGAGTAAAAAATATATTCACCGCTAATAAATATATATATGTATCATTGAACGAAGGCTTTTCGGAAAAAGTGAGATGCGTTCTGATTAAGGATAGATTTGGCGCTCGTGAAGATAATATTTGTGTTATTGTACACAACGCTTGTTGTTATCTATATTTATTATAAAGTTAATTGCAAAAAGAAAATGAGGAGATTTAATCGTTCGTTGTGTAGTTTCGATTTGTTGTCGATTGTAATGATAGGAACATTTCGAACAGGGCGCAATGACGAAATTCTGGGCTTTGTTGCGAATCATGTGTAATATCGCGCTTGTTACACAAGTGCGTGTATGCGCGTTTGTAATCGCGATGCGATATTGCGTTTTGTCAAGGACGACTCTGCGAGAGAGGGATGCTTCTCTGTCCGCAAACGTTTCGTGATGAGAGATGGAAAGCCATCTGTGAGCCTTCATAAATATAAGGAAAAAAAATGGTACATCTCCAGATATGAAGCATAATGATGAGATTCTAGATTTTTCTGTCGTAAATGATATAACTATATAACTGGGTCGACATTGTTCGCAACCGAGTTTCCTCGGAACATTATAAGTTGTTTCATCTCAAATTTTGAGATTATGTATCTTACAAAGTTTTAAAAATCTAGAGAATACAAAAAAAAATACATCATAATTAAAAAGTTCTTTTCCCCTGTAATGTGTGTTTTAATAAAATATACAACTACAAAATTTAAAGTGAAAAACTTGGAATAGGTGCTTTTCACGAGAAAAGAATCGTGTAATTGTCACATTACGGTTCGTTTCGCTTCGCCTATGAAACATTCTAATGCATTCAGCGTCACCGTTGTGATGAGCTAATTTGCTAACGTATTCATAAAACTTACAAAAGACGACAAAGTCCGAGATGCAAATTTAAAGCCCTCAAGTTAATCCTTTATAGCAAGGATTATAATCCTGCTAGAGAATTATAAAAGCGTGCTATTTTTTCGTTGTTGCAATATACTTTTTATAACGCATTTTAATTAACTATCAAGATAAGTGTTATTGACGAAAATATTTGCTTTCATTTATTTTTTAACGAGACACAAAATTCTTGTAACATATATTATTCCAATCTATCAATTACTATTACAATAATGTAGATATTAAATCGCGCAAATAATTTAATTCATGCAAAAAATGAAATTTTTTTATTTATATTTTAAAAGATTATTAGCGATTGATCTAACGTAGAAATCGAATAATCAAAAAATTCTTTATTCGAATTTCTAATAAATTCTCTCGATCTATTTTCGACGACCATACTTTCATCAAATTGATTTGTCGTCTGAATTGTGCTCGAATCGATTGTCTTGAAGATACAATCAACTTTGCTATTCGTTCCAACTCGTTTCGGGATAAATACGTAATGCCCGCGGACGTGGAAGTTCATCGAATTATTACGAATCGCGCGATCTGCCCATCCGTAAGACGGCTCTTCCTAGAAGATTCCGTGTTTCGCGTCTGTACCTGCTATCAGAGGTAATTCATCGTGGTCTGAAAAATTCACAAGCAGCTTCCAGCTTTGAGACCTCGTCCCGCTGTCTGCTGCTTCTGTTGGCGTTTCATCTTTTACGTGCGACCGAACTGTCCGTGAAATCTCTTGCGGAGAGTCAAAGAATAGTGCGGAAAAAGGGAACGGGAAAAGAGAAGAAAAGAGATGGGGGGGGATGAAGAAACAATCAGAAAAGAAATATAGTTTGTAGATTTTATCCAAGTTTCTTCGGAAGAAAAAAGCTGACCAATATTGCGTCAAAGTCTTTATGATTATGCGAGAATAAACGAGCCTCCATGAGACGTTCGTAATGAATATGCAGACGAACGTGCATTATATATGTTTCGCGAAGTCCTTCCTGTTATTTCCCACGAGATGCTAACATACGTTCATGACAAATCTATGAAAATCTAATGCCGCGGATTCAGCGCAGTGACGATTATATTCCATATAGATGTATTTCATTAAAAGTATTGAATATATATAGAATTTCACGATTATATCAACAGTGTCGTCAAGTAAACAAAAGAAAATAGATTACATTTGAATTTTACATGATTTCTCTTCCTCGATCAATCATCCTGCTCCTTGTCATACAACATACATATCGTCCGCGATAAAAAGCAAAATTTTCATTTTATTTTACTTATAGACTATATAAATCATTTCTCTTTATCTTAAAACATAAATTTGATTAACTGAATAAGATATTTATAGCCAATCAAGAGTTGTTCAACTATATTATATTCTATACGGATTTTAAAATTATAGAAGATTAATAACAAAAATATCTCCATCAATTTATCTATTTATTATTTTTATGGAAACGTCGCGTTTCAAAAAATCACGGATTTGCTCAGAAAAGTACGCGCGGGTTTCCGAACTTTGACGGCGTGGCCTCATTCTACCGGAACATCTCGCACAGAAAAAAGAACAAGGAGATAGAAAAAGAGAGAGAAAGAGAAAAATTCATTTTGAAATGGGTGCTGCCTAACGGGGCCGCGCGTCGAACTTTAGAGTCCGCGTCCTGGTTCGGACGAACTGCGATCCTGGCCGCTTGCCAGGGAATCGCGAAGGGATCGGAAGAAACGAAAACG